CTCGATGAGTTGGATCGCGACTTCAGGATTTTATGATTTATGGAACTCGGCGAGTTGAAGGGCCAACTCGACGAGTTGAGTTAACTCGGAATGTTGACTTTGACTTTGATGAGGGTGTTGACATTGTCATTGACTTTGACCAAAGTTGACCCCTAAGGGGTTATGAGTGTGAGAGGGTAATTAAAGGAAAACTTTATGTGTAGGGGTTTGAGTTGGGTTGATTTCAGAGCTTAGGATTCTTCAGCTAATTTACAGCATTCGAGGTGAGTTACCTTCCCGGTAAAAGTGGGTCTAAAGCACCAAGGCCGGCCCACTAGTAGGAGTTTGTAGTTAGATGATTGTATTTGTGATAATCGTCTGTTATTCCACTATCTGTTATGATTTATGTGCTAGTGTGTCATGATATTATGTGATAGTGGTTGGGGGTGGAATAAACCCTGTATCCTGTTGATAAACCGGAGGATTGGTCGGACACCCATATATGCCTGACAATATGTTTATGTATGGTTATAATATGACATTATATGGTAGTGGTAGGGGTGAAACAGACTACATAACTGGTTGAAATAAACTGGAGGGTAGGTCGGGTACCCTGATATGCCTGACATGGGTAGGTCGGGTACCCAGGTATGCCTGACAGGGGTGGTTCGAACACCCCGGTATTCCTGACATGGGTAGGTTGAGCACCCACGTATGCTCAGCAGGGTAGGTCGGGCACCCAGATATGTCTGACAGTATGTTTATTGTATGGTGTGTGGTATGATGGGGGGAACTCATTAAGTTTTGTGATTACGGTTTTCAGTTTTGGTTTCAGGTACTTCTTCTTTGAAAGGAAAGGAGTTGGCATGATCGCAGCGCATCACTATGATTTTCCGCACATGAGATCTTTGGGAATTGTGCTCTGATGATTTTTTATTATGACATGTTTTGGGTATTGAGATATTGGTTTTGATCATGATATGTGATGATACTATTGATGTTTTTAGACTACTGGTTTTTATAAATACATAATTAAAAACGAAATTTTTGGTCTTGAATTTTGAGATGTCAAAATACAGTAGTCATCTGTGAGGGAGGACATTGGAGGTAACGAAGTAAGTTACACCCAACAATATTATGCAACTGCATTGACGAATCCCATGTATTGGACTTCAAATGTAGAATTGGAAATTACACCCTATCGTTTGGATGGCGTTGAGACAAGATTGTCATAGAGTAGTAATACACAATATCTAGAGGTCGACTGGCAAGTGGTTGGACACCCACCAAATCTGAATCTCAAAATACGCTTAAGAGCAGAAAACTATGGATTTGGAAAATCGTACATATATACGCATATTTGTTGAAATTAAGATGTAATGTTCGTATGGTTGAAGGTTAGGTACAAAAGGGCTCTTCCAATCTGCTGTGGGGAGAGGGGTCTAACATCGGGTACCATTCAAGTCTAGATTTTGTATGGCTTCAATTGAATAACAATATTGGTCGCAATAAGCACGTTAGCCTGCTAAAGAATATTGGTTACATATTTTCGCTCTGAGAGAAGTAAAACGGTGGAGTTATAGGAGGAAGATATGCTATGGGAATAATTAAGAGTCCCCCAATTTATGTAGAAAACTGTCATTCCCAATAAGAAATGATTTGTTGTTAGAATTTTATAAATGGACTAGCTAAAACAATATCATAAATGAATAATAAAAGGAGGGTCCAATGTAAACTAACGGTCCTGTAGAGGGTCCGGTGTAAACTGTCTCCAGTAGAATTATGAAGAAAAGCATTCTTCACAGCTAACGTAAGAACAATCTGTATGTTATACGGTTAGTTAGTCATTGGTTAGTCAGGTTAAATGCTTCATTGCAATCAATACCTGGTTGTTAGATTTTTTACTTTGGCAACAAGGCAATCCTTGTATATGGAAAGAGTTCGATTATCATGAAATTTTTGCTTGAGTAACCACATGAATCTATGAATTGTTTACCCCTCCCGGTCGGGGGAACAAGGGTCCATGTACTATTCAAAATAAGAGCATAAAACTCTCTATCTATGGCTTTATGTTAGTGAGGGTCCTACATAACTTGTAAATATGGTCACGCGACATGGGAAATAGAGGAAGTGATTAGGTTTAAACGTTGAATGGATTCTTGGACTCTTCTTTTTGTGCGGATCATCATTGGATCATTGGTGATTTGTCTAGGTGGTTCAATGATAATGGCAGAAGATGGTGAAGTGTGATATGTAGTCTTGATAGCCTTTGTTGAAGGAGGTGATGTGGAAACTAGGGAGAGGAATTTGGAGAGGAGCCATTAAGATTAGGTGAGAGGAAGGAGCCAGGAAATATTAGTGAAGAATATGAGAAGAGTCAAGGTTGTCATGTAGGTAATCATAGGAGGGTGGTGCTTCGGGTGTAACTGAACTATACGAAGATGTAGACTCTTCGAACAAAACATAACAAGAAATGAAGAATAGTGGATTATGAGGTATTGTCATGATGAGGTGGGACATTAGTGAGTTGTGAGTGAACCATTCCTTTTTCTTCCAGGAGAATCGTGCACCGAGTTTCAAGAAGCATTGGAAGGAGAGATCGGTGTCTTACAATGCTTTCCACATGATCAAACTTTGATGATATTCCATTAATAGTAAAGAAGACTAGGTTTTTATCTAGTATCGGGGGCCTAATATTTTCAATTAAATCAGTCATTGTCTTGATTTTGTGAAGATATTGTGGCCAAGATATCTGTAGTGGACACATTACACAATCTATTATCCACCTCCATTGCTTTTTCGTCATTATTGACTTAGAACAAGCCTTTTAGATTCACTGAGACGTCTTTAACAGTGAAGTTCATGTTCAAATCAACGATGATAGGTTTGGAAAGACCGTGCCATATTTATCGAGTTTCAAAATAGCATCAATCTTCTTCCATTCTATATCCGTTGGCTTAGGCATGGTGTTGGCTACATGGTCCGGTACATCAAAACTAATAGAGTGTGCTGAAAATTGTTCTTTATAATTACAAACTTGTTAGCGAATTTAGTGTCACCATGTCATTTCATGTAATTGGAACTAACATGTGAGCGAAGGGGGCTTCATAATTTGTACTATAATATATGTACGGGTATGTGCGGAGTTTACGCATTTATAATATCGAATTAGAAGCCGGTTCGACGATAAGTCGGGGGTCTAAGGGTAGCGCCCCTAGCGTGGTCCAAGGGGAAAAACCCCTGCCTGGGGTCCCGCGTGGGTGATTATGGTTAAAGTGACGAAATTCATCAGTTTTGAAAACCATTGATTTCCTTATTAAATTTCGGGTTTCGCTGACGTACAACCCATGACGGCCAACCCTAAGAGGCAAAATCTAATTTCGTTTATTATATAAACGACTCTTCTCTTTGAGAAGAGACTCACAACTATTAGCTTTCTTAAAACGAAATCCTTCTAGCAATTTGGCATACGATTTCCGTGTCTAGATTCGTAAGTATCCTCCTGGATTAACCTACGCTGAATTTCTTGCAACCCAGGCATAAGGAAGAAATATCAGTTCAGAAAATGTTCACAAGATCTAAGGGGTATCCAGATCTCCAGCATAAACCCTAAACAACTCCAACAAACTCTGTGCTATATTACCCACTAACAATATTGTTTGATAAAACAGCCTTTGCAGATCTGTTTCCAAGAGTCTTGGCAATTGAAGCTAATAGAGATTGTGTGGTGAGCCAAAGATTAAAATAATATATTGAGGGGGTAGAGTTTTCTGCATCCTTCGAAAAGATTCAATATTAGATTGTTAAGGCATATGAAATGACGTGAATTTTCGAGGTTGTTGCTCAAAGTGGAAGTGGAATAACCTGATCCCTGGAAAAATTAATGTCTTGATCTAGAGAACTCTTAAAAAAAACGACTTACTACTAATGTCAAGTGGATATTGGCGTATAACTTGATGATCATAGCTGCCCTTTGTGTAAGAATGCAGAAGAAAGGAAGGAACATGCACTAGTAAAACGTTTGGTGGCAAACTATATGTGGGCAGAGGGGTGAAATATTTGGCGTTAATTTCGTTCCAGGTAATGTGGATTCATTCGATCACATTTTCAACATCACAACAATTGTAGCTGGTTATCAGTTTAAGGGTAGAGTTTACCTCCTCTATTTGGGAATGTAAAAGGATTGATTCTTCGTGTTATCGTTTCTTGATGCATCGACTTTGTGTACTGTTCAATTCGTGGGAAATCTTTATATGAAAATATTTCAAACAGTAATCTTAGGATGCACATTCATTAATTGCAACATGGGTCGGGGTGGATTGGATGCATGGGAACTCATAGAATGTGTTCAGGTTTTGGTGTCTATCTCCTCAAAGTAACTTGGTGTTGGGGTGCAGTCTTAATTGTGAGATCAAAGGGTGTTACTGTGAGATATTTTTTGCCTTAAAAAGGTGTTTTGTTTTTGGTGGGAAGATTTGGGAAATTGGGAAAACTTGGTGTTTTGTGTATTCTTTCGTGTGTTGTCATTCTGTGTGTTGTGTGTATGTGTGTGTAATTCCATCACGGGAACAAGATTGGCTGAATATACTTCCTGGCTTACTAGCTTACTGGAGTAGAGTCTGAAGTTGGTCTCTGGTTGCTATCATCTGATTTAAGTCTTTATGGGATAAAATGGTGTGATCACATTTCATATAGTACTGGATTGTTTTTCAACGTCCAAAAAAATGTTTCTTTGTCGAGCATAATTTTAACACTCACCAATTTCTGATTGTGAGCTATTTGGGTTATCATGGGTACGTGGATCACTAGACCGGGCATCATGATGCACGAAACCGGGGGTCGAGAGGATTCTGGCAACAAGAATATTTGTGGGGTTTGCATAGAACTGGATTGTTATGTGGTCATAGGTGAATGATATGTTAGTCTATCAGTGGTGTATTTATATTCCTAATGGACTGTTAAACTTCATATACAGGTGGTGTCGCTTTGTAAGATGTGTTTTTGTTCGGGGTTCATTTTCCTTATAGTATATATCTGGCTGTTAAAGAAAAAAAAGTACCAAATTTATCTGGAGAACGGATAATCTGCATGGCAGCATTGTAGTAGTCAGCATAGATGATGATGACACTGGGATGAAGCTCTCGAAGGTGGTTTAGTTTTGTTTGCAGCAGTTCATTGTGGTATTCGGCAAGCGTATTGAACTTGATGAGGCAACCGGTTCTGTTATCATACTCTTCTTCTTTTTCAAAGAAATGGCTTGTTAGAATCATACCAGAACACCCAATTGGAAAAGTTCCTGGAACAACCAGTGTTTGAGCCCCCATATTAATTAGTTCCTGTATTTAAAACTATTAGAGTCAATCCCAGGAGAAAATCATAAACTAGAAAAAGAAATTTGTGAATGCATGGTAAGTTGTTGGTAGTGATCATAAATTAACATATAGTTTGAATGATTTGAGTAGTTACATTAATTGCTGAGATGATGGTATCAATAACAAGTGGAACGTATGAATTGAGCTCATCGATTGGTTTATTATCAACAATTGGATTGTTGTAATCGGTTCCACCAATCTCTCCCATTAGGATCAAAGAACGCCCAATTATGTTTCTACAATCTGCCAACAATTATAATCAATACAAGTACTCACTAAATACTGTTTGAATCTCAAAATTATAAACAAGAATCTTTGACTTTTTAGAAAATTATAATCCCAATATATAACAAATATTATGCACACATATGGTTAGCACAACTGTATACAGTAGAAGCACATATGTATGTTTGATTACCTGAACCTGACGCGTTGCTGCAAATAAAAGGCAGTGATTGTTTAAACCATGTCAATTGATCTCCTAAAGAAACATTGGCTGCAGCATTAACAGTCCCTCTTGCTTCATGAAACGATGTATCCAATGCTGTTGCAGCCACCACCGCGTAATTAAGTCCTTGTCCAAATTCCACCACTTTGTCATCCTCCTTGTCATGCAGAAACGGTGGTATCAATGGCAACCCAAGACTCTCAGCTTCAGGAAGAACAAAAACTCAAAATGAACTACATAGTTTGTTAATTAGAGACTATCTAGAAGATGTCAAATATCTAAAACAAACACTAGGGTTGGTACAAAGAAATCAATATGAAGTTATGATAATCATGGGGAAAAAAAAGTAAACTTAGATCAGAAACTTGCATGGAACAAAGATAAGGTTTCTCCAAGATGTAGGACAATTTTTAATTCACGCTTAGCATTACACATCTGGATTTTGCTTGTCCAGAGTGAAATGCTTTAGGTATTTGTCAATGCATGAACGAAATTCAATGTATGTATGCAATGGTACTGACAACTAGAATCTGATTTATCATAGACATACCTTAAAGTCTTAAACCACAAGTCAAATTGAATCCTCAATCAAACAAAACTACTCTGAGTCGAGTCTATTCTGGGACAAACCAATTTGATCTACGTCCAATCAAATCTAGCCGTTTACTGTGATATATAAATTGTTCTAGCTAGGACTCAACCATTACCAGTCACATTTGATAGTTATTAGTTTCACACACACACAGGACTTACCTAGGAAATCGATGAGGAGGCGACCATTGGAGGCACGACCCGTGGGTTGATGAAAGAAGGTTTCTCCGTAAGGCCACCGAAGAGCATCAACGTCTGTGTGGGATATGGAGGCGATTTGTTTAATGTTTCCGGTGTCGGCCAGGGAGTCACCAAAGCTGAAAATGGTTGTATAACATCCATTCACATACATGCTAGTATTCCATAACACCTGCAAAATCATTAAGAACAATGTAATGGACCAAGAACATGTAGAAAACTCCATTACAAGATGCTCCAAATATATTTATACTGTTTGAAAAGAAAAGAAAGAAGGTAACAAAATTTCCTGCGGAAGTTATAGCATGGAGCTCCCATTATATAAACAAATCACTTATGTGGATAAATATAATGAAAAGAGAAATAACATGTTATTCAATTAAAATTTTGTATTTTTTAACATGTTTTTCATTTTATTAGAAAAACATGTATGGTTTTTTGGATTTTGAACATGTTTTTCATTTTCTTGGTAAAACATACCCACAATGTTTTTTTTTCCACCTTTCTCTAGCTAGATTCTTTCTTCTCTTTTCTATTAGGGTTAATATTTAAAGAGTAATGTGAAACCAATATACTAAACTGTAAAAGAGTTTTAAACGTGCACATTTTGGACATTTTGAGAATATTTTTTTGTGGATGAGATCCTTATTCAAATTGAAATTAGGTGTCAAGGGTTAAGGGCACTTGAAATTGAAATTTCTTCTTTAATGCTAGTAAAAAAACCAAGCTTATGGAAATTATGAAAACCCTTCCTCGATTCTTAACACATGTTTAACAGAAGCAATCAACTCCGGCCGTCAAATCCATCAGTCTACATGAACGACTATGTTTTTTAATTAAGTGGAATATATTAAAGAAAGAAAAGAAGAAACGTACATATATTCACATAAATTAATAAGAATCTTATGATCTTTGTATATGTCTACCTGCTACGTGTTATATATTTTTTTTTGATTGATTATATGATAAAATGCTATGATATGGTTGATATTTTATGATCTTATATATGTTGATTACACAATACAATGTCATTACAAGTTGTAATGACATCATATCGTGTAAAAAACATATATAAGATCATAAAGTATCAGTCATATCATCGCATCGTATCATATAATCAATCAAAAAGAAAAAATCATAACACATAGCACGTAGAAAAAAACAATAAAATCATTTAGGGATGTGTGCTCAAAAAAATCTTACTCACCTTTGGTTGCTGTAAAACATACCCTACTTGTTGCTCTTGTAATCTCGTTTAATCCAAGAACGAAATCCTCAATAAAATACATAAGTTTAGGCTTAATCACCTCATATAACAACTTAACACCTCATATAACAACTTAACGCATCGATCAAATAAAAACTAATTTAATGACACTTAGATTACATTGTATCATTACTTAATTAACTTTTAGCTTTTTATCTAAACTCTTATTCTGATAAACAATATGTTCATACATCAAATCAAATCTATTGTATCAATTGGGATAAGTTATTATATAAGGTCAGGAGTCACATGTGTCGCCTCGGTTGTCAGTTCAATAGCCTTGCTCTTCGGCACAAGGGCCGCCTGGTTGCCCTCTCGGCCATCTGTGATCCTCAACATCGCCGGAGCGGTGCTGCAACCGCTTCAACCGTCAAACTCGGACAATCGACCTCCCTATGGCCCCTCTAATTACAATGAAAACAAATCATTCATGAAGCATGGGTGGTGGTGGTGGTAGTGTAATCCCTACGGAAGTACCGTGTCTTGCCGCACTTATAGCACCTTGAACCAATCGCCCTCCAAACCCCATCATGCATCTTAACACACTTGTCATGGCGTCCCCGACCCTGCTGGCCCATCGGTCTAGACTAAAAAACTTTGGGTTTCTCACTGAACACCCAGATGTGTGCACCCGCTCTGCCTTCCTGTAAACCTCAAATTTCATACAAAAATTTTTATTTTTAAATTACGCAAAAATATTTTTCAGAAGCCAAATCATCGGAAAAGAAAAGTGTCAAATACAAAACATCACAAAATAACAGAGTGCCACAAAATGCCCGGTCACAAATTTCTCAGCTAGTGTGTACAATTAGACCTTCTCCTTCCCGCGATCCTTATAAGTACCTGAAACACATATAATCAAGAAGTAAGCATGAAGCTTAGTGAGTTCTCTAAGATACCACATACATCACAACATAAATAAACAGCTATGGGTTATCAGCAACCCTGGGGACTAGCAGTAGTCACGCCATATGGGTTATTAGTAACCCTGGAGGCCACAGTGTCAGTCGCACATAAACAACATAATACAAAATAAAAGTTAGACCCAATTCGTCATCACAAATACAACTAATGTACCACACATGTAAAAATAAGTGAGGAAAATCACCTGCTACTGATGACAGATAAATCTCACACCTGAACTGTAGGAACTAGGCTCCGCCTAATAACACAATAATTGACCGTAATTAATAATTAAGGTCTATAACTCAACTTGCGAGTCCAAAGACCATTTTTCCCCTCCCATGGTCCAAAAACCTAACTCTTGACCACAGGTTAATAGTCAGCAAAAGTCAACTACCTAGCGCGTACGTTGGGCGTACACTCCTCCTACACAGGGCGTAGTAAAAAATCAGCCAGGATTTGGTCAGGCTACGTTGGGCGTAGCTAAAAGTATGCGGGGTGTAAGCCTTCTGATCCCAAAAATTACTCCAAAACAGTCTTAAACGTTAAGGCATGCATCCCAAACACAAATATGACCTTCTTAGAACGTCTTAATCCATAAAGTCCAAAACTTTAAGCCTTTGCATGGCTAAAAAGAGTTTAAACCTTAAAACTCTAACTTAATACATACTCAACACCACCAAAATCTTGCATAACTATAAAAGGACCATTAAGCAACCATTTTTATGAATCTACAAGGCCTAAAACACTTAAAATGACAGCTGAAATGCTATGGAGTACTCCATACTCACAAAGGTCCAAGATTTGGGACAAAAAGCTCATAAAAACTCATCTATGGAGATCTAGAAGGAAACACATAATGGTATAAACTTTACACCACCTTCTTCACTAGTCTTCTACTTCAGCAAAAGCCCACCAAAATCACCACTAAGCTTCAAGATCTTCACTCACAAGGAATACACTCGAGATTAGGGTTTGGAAGGAGTGGAGGCTGATTATGGGAGGTCCAAGGGCGAGTTAATGTCTTGAAATAGGGGTGAAACCCTAAAATTTAGGGTTTAGAGGCTAGGCTAGTACGCCCGACATACCACATGCATGCCCCAGCGTACTAGCATGGCTTCCGCGATCCCGAGCTTCTCACGAGTACGTTTTGCATACCCTCACGTACGCCCAACGTACGGGCTGGAAGGTGGAACTTAAACCACAAGGGACCAAATGTGAAATTTTTTTATTAGGTCAAGGGCTAAAAAATGAAAGTACCTGATAATCAGATGTTACACTTCCCCTCCCGATGGGCTCTAAATCAATTTCCCACTCCCAAACCCTAGATATCATGTCCTCTAATGTTGGACGAGCTTAATAGCTAACAAACTCCCTTATATTATATCTTAGCATATCATGTTAACGATTCTTCTTCATCTCTATATTTGCAGCATACTGGGATACCAATAAACCTCTCTCTCGGAACTTGGCGGTAGTCTCTGCCAAGGTCTCAGTGGTATGCCGCATATCCTGGAACTCCCTTACCAGCTGTTGCACCTCAACAGGCGGTGCAAACTCCCCTCAGAACTGGGTTACAAAATCCGACCACGTCATGCCCTTAATGGACAAAGTTCCAAGAGCATAACCAACCTCATCCCACTAATCTTGGGTTCGCTCCCTCAGACAGCCTGCAATAAACCTCACCTTCGACCCATCGGGGAAGAAGCTAGTCACCTGATCAGACTCCATGTCTATTGTTCATCACACTCCATGTCTATTGTTCATCGTTTGGTGGAAATGTTGTCCTTCACCCAAAAGAACATTGGTGCCCCACATCTCGTAAAAACCTTGAAGGAAAGAGTGTGGGCTACGTATTGACCTGTATCACGCTCGGATCTAAAGGCCCGGAAAGGCTCCCCCTTCAACTCGATGAAACGCTGCTTGATCGATCCGAACATCACTAGGGTCGCATTAAGGATGCCTCACGTATTCTCAGACGTGATGAACTACTATAGCCCCTCATCAATTGGTTTGGTTCCCGTATCCAATATCGATCTAGATCCCGAACCTCCTGCTCCGCCACAAGTCATCACCATGTTGAGACACAATACCTAAACAATTAGTACACACATGAAGAGGTTCACACTATGGAAGTTTCTCGAAATCATCAAGACCTTCCTTGTCTTAGGTATAGATCCTATGTTTTCAGTAGTATGGGCCCAATACTACCATCCATACCTATCTATAACTTCCTCAAGGACTGTCTCGAATTCTCCAACTCACTTCCTACTATCCATTACTTCACTCACACTATATAGCTCCCTATGCGCTAAGACTTATCATAGCCTTTCCTAGGATTCCCTTTTCCATCACCTACTGACATTAACTGCAAGAGAGACTTCCTCCAACACGTCTAACCGCCTCACAAGTACAGTTACATGTTATCAACATCAGATAATTTTTGAATGCTAGATCCCACCCTATAATGGTTGGACTAAAAAAAGAGTTATTCAATATAGTTGAATCTAACCATCAAAAATTATCCTATCCCCATAACATGTAATTTAACGCATTCACTTAATAATTATTCGACAGCAGCGGAGTCCCTAGAAGCACAAACCTAGCACCATTCGAGCATTGTGTTCTAAACCAATGCACTGCCCCTAATCCGGCCATTCCATCTATTCATCTTAAATCTACATTAGGATGCAGTACTAAATGCTCATATAATTGAAATATAATGCATCTCTCCAAGAATTCTATCATCCAATTACGAACAAATCCTCAACCCTAATCTTGCATGCTACACATATACACATATGTTGAAACTATAAACATGCATGGGTATTTTAGGATATCCTTACTTGAGCACGAATGATTACACTTATCACACCCCTTTCTTTAAAAAATCCATGTATAAAATCCATTTTCTTTCAAAAAGATTTCAAATTCCTCGGTTTGAGTTCAGGTATACCCGACTGTGTGCCGGAATCCCTCAAACC